GATTTGTTTCTTTTAAAGTAAATTTAATTGTACAAAAGTTCTCATCACATTGTATTATCAAAAAATCAAAATTTATTATTGGGCTATATCATGATATTTTTATCTACCATTGAAACGGTATATAATTTCTTCAATGTAAAAATTGTATACTTCAGGTTCTGGTATGTTGCATAACCAAACAAGTATATATCATTCTATATTTGCCGGGTTTATTAATTTTGCTTCTCTCTCAACCAACCATAACTCTTTACTATTTTCACGAGTATGTCAGTTATCAGTGAAGTGGTAATTACGAAGATTTTCATATAATATAAGTATATTGATTTTTAGTTTAAGCATATTATTATCTATTTCATTAATTACTATACTACGTACTCGACACATAAATGTTAACAATTGTTCATAATATATTAAAAAATTGCTTGCTCTATAAAATTCTAGACAAAAAACGTTTTATGTTATTCGATTATAATTTTCTATATAAACTATATAAAAAACATTACAAACTTCCATTTTCATTTCCAATTTTATCTTCTTCGAATAACAATAAATCTTACCAGAGTTCACCATGCCAGAATTCTCGTTTTTCATCTGCAACTATTCTGGGACCAAAGTACATTTTTGGCATAAGTATTGGATTGTTTAAAATGTGCTCCAGATATATTAATAGAGAAATTGTAAATGCTTGTTTTGTAGATGCATAAGTAAACGGTATTCGCTATAAATAAAGAGGTACGTCATGTTTACGTACATTGACTAAGGATAGTCTATTTCTCCATTTTCAAATCTGACGAATATTCATAATAACATTCTCTTTTCGATACTCAGAATATGTAAGAATCTTGATGAAATCTTTATAAGCAGATGTTGCTACATAAAATTATTGATTATATAGTAATATATATATATATATATACTGTATAAATAGTAAAGCATTTGTTGACATTACTTACAAATCATGTGTTTAGTGATCTAGATAAAAATTATTGTTGATATGAAATTTGGAAAGTATGGACCATATTCACCATTGAAACCTTTGAAGTTAGAAGACTCTCCTTCCAATATATCATTATTCATCGAAACTTCTTCATCTACAATGTCAAGTAATGACCTGTATGAATCATCAATATATTCTTCTATATCATGTTCAGAAACGTCTCCTTAAAATGATTTATAGTAAAAGTTATACGTTAACTATCATATCTACAGCATTGATCGTTATTATGAATCTTTATATAGTTGTACAATACTATAATTTCAGAATATGTATATTAACTTTATCTATCATTTCTGATGAGATTTTGGTCTTTTTGTTAGTTGACTCTTCATCATCAGTTAAACTTAAGTCTTTTTCATGCATACCAAATCGAAAGGAGTAACTTTTTCTGCGTTATCGTCTTCCAAAACATTTTCTGCATCATCATCTTCTGAAGCGTTTTCTACATCGTTGTCTTCTAAACATTTTTTGCATTATCATCTTCTGAAGCGTTTTTTACATCATCGTGTTCTGAAACATCATTAAATATAGGATATTCATCATATTGTGATTTCTTAGTTTTAACATGTAACTTTGTTAATATTGCATATGGGCGACTGATTTTTGAACGTTTCATTTTTAACAAATATGATTTTTTTATAAAATATAAAAAGAAAAGTTTGAATAAAATAAAAAATAAAGTTTTTTTTGATATATATATATATACTTTTTAAAACTATTATCATTTAAACAATCGAATTTTGACTTTTTAATGATGACATCATATTATCATATTAATATATTAATAAAATAAACTAATAAAATACTAATGAAATATATATAAATAGTACATTAAATAATCAATTTATTTGGTTAACATCGACATTTGTTTGATTATGTAATTATTTGTTAAGTAGATTAATTTTCAAGCTGAAATTTACTAGAACTCTAAGAATTTTAATAGTTTTTCGAATTATAATAAAATATAAAATAGAAGAATTTTTTGTATAGGCTGAACTGATCGAATAATACAACCCTTAAAATGTATTGTGATTTATGCAATTGTTTCGATTGATTGATTGATTGATATAAATTAGTTATTATTATTGAATTAGATCATGATTAAAAAATACATTTTAATATACAAATAAAATAAAAATTTGATTTTGATCACTTCGTTAAATACAACCTTTCCCATAAAACTTTAAAAAAACTTGTTCATCAAAATTTTAAAACTTTCTTTATCATTCGCCAAATATAATCGTAATACTTAATCTTCTATTGGTAACAAGATGAAAAAAAAAAGAAAATTGTGAGTAAGCAACTGAAAATATAAATTCTTTAAATATATTACTTTATTTAATGAATATTTTATTATATTGAAAGTATCTGAAGACATGCAATCTACCAGTAATCAAAAGCATCAAACATGATTTACTACAAAAAAAGGATCTACTATGAGTAAAGGTACATAAAATATATTATATAACTTGGTTATTTTTAATAATTACTAATATTATAATATTCTGTTTAAAGATCCTTCAGATAATCTGAAAGATACCAGTACCACATTTACGAAAAAGATGAAAAAATGCAAACAAAATGATGAACAAGCAGATACTGAAGAAGAACTTATTGAAAAGAATTTATTGAAAGAGGATTCACTGAAATAATATCTGCTGAAATATGTAACAAGAAAGCGAAAAGTTTAATCATAAGTGATACTCTAGTTCCTCCTACAAAAAAAGACAAAAACCGCTACCATTACCCTAAAAGATAACGTTTTTACTGTACTAAGTAACAGTAGTGATAGTGAGGAAACTGAAGGATATAGTATATATCATTATTATAGGTTATTTTCCATATATATTTATATATTGTTGAATCTAAATTAATAGGAGGTGATGACGAAACACTATCGCAAATACTGATACAGTTTCAACACATGAGTAATGAATTTAAAGCTGCAGTATGGTTATTAAACCTGGCATTAGAGATCAAAAATGCAAAATCGATATCGATTACTAACGAAGAAAAATCACAAGGTTCGCAAGATTCAAAAAGTTTACAATATCAAGATTCTCAAGTAGAAATTATTCAGGTAAAATAAAGTACAATAAACAATATTATTGCCCGAAAGCTCTTATTTACTGATAGTATTTTTATTTCTATATTTAGCATAAAAAATACCAGTTGCAAGAAGAATGTAAGGGCACTCTTCTTACGAACTCAGAATAATATACAAGAGCTTTATGAGGAATTAATAGTTTATGTTTGTAGTTGCGCAAGAACTGATCATAGAATTAGAACGCTAATTAAAGACTTAAGCAGTTGGTATAACACATACCGGTATAAATTTCATATGAACGTCGTAAACCTTACAAACGAATTTATATTATTGTATGAAAGGTTTGTATTAGTAATATATGTAACTAATAATTTATTATTAAAATTAATTGAACATTTAATTAAAAATAGTGTAAAAGAATCATATAACAAATTAGACAAATTCATAACTGCTGATATTTGGCGACAATTACTCCAGTTGCATTTAAAAGCAACTGAATAACAAAAGTTAAAAAAAGATAGATTAATTGTTACCAAGCTTAATATTTTCATTCGACAAGCTGTTAAAGCTACAATTAAAGCAATAAAAGATGGAAAGGATACATAATCTGTAATAAAGAAACTTGATGAATATACAATCAACTTAAAAATACCAATGAAACTCAGAATAGTCAGATCATTATCAGTTTGAGAACTCTTGAATTCTTGAAATAATATGAGATACGAAGAGTCGACATTTTTATATTTTATTTTATCATTAAATAATATGATATTTGAAAAAAGATAAAATACTTTGCTTAATATTCACTATTTCTTCACTTTGGAAAAACAATTTTTATTATCAATTTTCTTTATATTCAAAAGCAAATATTCATATTCAATAAATTCAATATATATTACTTTATCAGAATATTATAAATTTTAAGTTCGTATTTCATCATATATTAAGCATATTACAAATATATTTTATTCATATATTGACTATATTTTAACAATATGGAAAGTTTGCGTTCTTATATTATATAAATTGTAATCTTAGGATCTTATATTACAATATGCTAAATATATAAATACTGTCTATCATTGATATGTTTAACACATTTATAGTTTAATTGTAATTTTGATATATGTACAAGATATTGCAACTATATTTTACACATCTTTTAAATATCTTGTATTCATATTACATTTTTTACTATATGTTGAATATATGTTTGTTACATATTAATAATATGTATATCATATTTTTCAAAATTGGTAGGTTTCTGCAAAGCAGATGATGGCTGGTATTTTTCATCATAGTTAATAAATCGTGTACAGAGGTTGACAACAGTTTTCAGATAATAGCTGATATCAATCTTTTTATCTAATCACCTCACTACCTCTGGATACTTCATTTTATCCCTTACCCTCTATGATAAATCATTCTTAACTACAATATACTCAAAGAGTTTACCTAGTTCTGGGATTTTATAAAGGTAAAGCTCAAATGTTAAACCCTTTTTTATGCGCCGTTAGCATCTGCTTCTTCACAGGTATGTCTATCTCACATTCGTGAAATAAAACACTAGACACTCTTGTTATTTTTATCAGACTTCTACATAGTGGTTTAACCACTCTATTAAGATTTATCTGTGAAATATCATTTATGATCTCTTTGAGCACATCCTCCACAATCCAATGCAAGATGCGAGTATTATCATTATTCAGCCTCATAGATTCTTCCATGACCTTCTTACCTATCTCACAAAAGTGTTTAGACTGCTCCCACTTTATAATTTTAACCCTTCGAATAAAAAGCTGATTATTAAAGTTGGGCTTAATATATGTAGGATGCTATAGTATTTTTTCTTTCCAGTAAATACTACTGGAAATAAGACTTTCTCATATACCATTTTGAGATAAGGAGATCTATTATCTTTCCTGAAAAAGTCATTAACCTCACCTTAGAGTTCACTCATTACCTCCATAGATATTTTCACCATATCCTCCTAGTACTTTTTTTGATATCTTTTCTGAAATGTATTTCTCATCACACTTCTGAAAATATTCTTCTAGACAAATAAGGTATAATGAATTAGTATTCCTGTATTTTATATCAAACCTTTTACTTCTGATAAGGTCAGTAATAAACTTGATATTCTGCTAACCAGCTGATGTTACCCTGCCTGCTAATGCTCACAAAAAAAGGAGACCTGCTATTCTCAGCTTCACTGTAAAACATATTCATATACACTTTTAAAGCGAGTTATTTTGTGTCTAGACAGGTGATATTGAAGCAAACTAAAGAGTATTCAGATTTTAAAACATCTGTATTGTCTCCACCCATTGCTTTCGCTAAACTAATCTCCTTTTCTAATTCTTCTTTTTTATTCTTTAATAGAGCAAAACAGCTTTTTAGTGAATTACACTACCCTATCAAAAGTATCCGGTCAAGCTCTTTTTGATTATTTCGAGATCGGATATATTAATTAATATAAATTTTTTTTAAATAAATGCTCCAGTTCTGACAAATAAAATTTATGTATTTGTTTTTTGTTATGATGTATACACCAAAT